CGCCGACGGCCATGTAGTCGATCAGTTCCTCGACTGCCGCTACAACGATCGAATGGCCGCCTTTGAAGTGTGTGTGCGCTGGCGCGGCCTACAAGACATTGAAGACTCGTGGGAGCCGGCGGCCAATTTGTTCAAAGACATACCAACTGAGTTCAAGCGCTACATGCGCTCAAACAAGGCCGATCCCAAGTCAAGGTGATGGCAGCTGCGTTGGGCGTTACGCAATCGTTGGGAGGGATTGTTGCGAATTTGCCATTCGCATAACCCCTGAACCCCTCCCAAGAAGGTATCCAAGTGTTCGATTAGGTTGGATATCCTGGGTGTGATCCTATTCGCTAGTTAGATTATTGGCTGCCCAGCAGCTGTCTGATTAGGTTAGGGTTAAGCCCCAGTGACTACTTGCCACTGGGGGGAATTCACATTGTGATTTGCCTTTGGATCGGACTTCGCAAGGTCCGTCAAGTTGAGACGCAACACATCCATGCGCAAATACTTAGTGGCCACGATTAGGCCTCCCTACTGAGCATTGCAACGGTCTCAGATTCGGTGCCCATTAGATTTGACAGTTGACGTTCGATTTAGATTTTACGATTCAAGCAACCTGCGATCTGTAGATTTTACTTGTCGTGTTTGAAGTTATCAAATTGCTCGAATAGTAGCGCTGCACCATTTTAACCATGAACTCAGTGAGTTGTGCAGACAAGGTCAGGTTTGTGTACTACCGGTAGTTTTTATTGGTGCTGTCAAGCAGTTCACAGTTAACGTTATCCTAAAGTTGCACTTGCTAAGTTGCACTTGCTAAACGTTTCGCAATACTGGTTTGCTACGAATTGTAGCCATCGGATTTGACTACATGTAGGGTGTGTTCGTTTATATAACCCAGTAAATTACTCGTCAGAGAAAGCTCAGATAAGATTGCCAACAAACTCGGGTGCTACAAATACTTCCCACAATACGGGTAGGCGCGGCGATGATTGTCAAGAAGAATTACGACTGCAGTGTTAGAATTATGTGTCGCGCACTAGTGGTAGAAATGTTGCTAACAGCATTCCAACATTATTGATTGAAATTT